GGAAGCTCAAGTTCAGAATAAGAAGACCTTACAAAGTAGCTGCGAATCCCATAACCAGAGCATCAGGACACCCAGGTGCCCAGGAGTGATTGCAGAGCTGTGTTCCAGGCACAAGATCTAAGAAGCAAGAGGCACAGAAGCAGTCACCATATCCACCCTATCCAAGAGTTTAAGGGAAGCAAGAACGTGTTCTAGAAAGCTGCTCAGATCTGCCATTTTTAAAAACCATGGTTCCTATTAATTTGATATATGGTAGGGAAAGTTTTTGCAATTATATAATGTGGATCCATATACCTAGTCAGATGTGGGAACTGCTAACAAATTTACCAGGTAGAAGCACTGCTGTAATAATCAGCTATGGCTCATTAACAATTGTCATAATAAAAGGTTTTGAGTCTACCTAATAAAAACAATAAAAATGAAATAAAAGCATAGTTCCAGAAGTGGGTAGGTGGGAGTGTGGGGGAAGGCAAGAAGGGGTCTCTGTAGCACCAAGGTGATCTCAAGGACTGAGCCGTGAACATTCACACTCTTGTGTTCAAGGACAGCTTGGAGGATTGGGTCAATGTAGCCCAGTTGCGGCCATGTCTTCAGACTTCCAATGTCAATGCCACAGGGAGCAGCCTTTCCCTCTGAAAGCAACACCTTATCTTCACAGTGATGGTGCTTTACATTTTGAATCAATATTTAATTCATTTATGCTAACCCCAAAACCTGAAACTACTGTCAAAGTTGGCTAGGGGACTCTAAATTTATGTTTTAATTACTTGGCCATTTCATCAAACGGTAGACACGGTGTCTGTGGTTTAGGACTTTGAAATGAACCCTATATGAGGAAAAAAACATGCCAGGCACATAGGGCCTATTCATACACATGTTTATGGTTTCTCTACCTGTGAAAAGGAGAGAGTCTATGAAGGTGTAGTGTGGGGAAAGTTGACATAGATTTCTTGTTCATCAGATTAAACCAGTGCATATTTTATTCCGCAGAGCTGAAACTAGGGTGTGGCTCCTTGAATTGGTGTTGGGGGGCATATTTTAAATTTTGAGTGCAAAACTTTTCTGAATTAAGTGAGCATACCATATTGGAAATGCAGTTTATGGAGGAAATGTAGAGTATTGTTTAAGTATGTAAACTCTAGTATTATGAATTGCATGTAGAAAGACATTCCTCCTGGAGAGGGAATCAGAAGTTGTTACTAATGATGACACACAGCCAGCGTAGTTTCTCAGCGCTTCATAGTCATGAGTTAGTGGAATCAATATGATCATTCATAGTCAACCAAAACCTTGACTTCTTGGTCCAAAAGCTGGAAAGGGGGCATTAACCAGTACATCAGTTCTTCTCCATCCAGCCCTTGGACTGGTCAACACACAGGAAACATGGTCACATGCCCAGCTTCCAGTGCAAGCCTGGGGACAGATGTTACAGGAAAGTGGAAGGTCATTAACGAGTTCACGCTCATTATTGTAGGCCCAAAGCCCATCCTTATGATGCACTCTGCTCTAAGAGGGCTGGAAAACCAGTATCTTTCATAGTAATGACTTCCAGTTTACAGCCTTCATTTGTTATATTTCCTCAATAGCTGTTGTGTTGAGATTAACTGCATAAATGGTCTGCAGCTGTCTGTTATGAATTAAGGGAGTTTAATCAAAGTATTTCTAATGTACAGCATAATGATAATACATGGGGGAAGTACTATTTAAGAGATAATGATGGCTTCAGAAGATCACTGTTGTAATGTTTAGTGCATATGCCTTCAGCATTGAATTTGTTGTTGTTCTGAATATGCTTAATGGATCACTGAAAAGCTGCCTAATGCGGGATTGTTTGATGGGGCTGACAGAGCTGGAATTAGCCCATTGCTGTTTACTACATACAGCCATTAAGATTAATTGCTGCCAGATAATTTTGACTGTTTTTATCTTCTGGAAAAAGTGTCACTAATGGGTTTATAAATTGGTTCACTATTACTAATAGTAAGGCCAGTGTGGCAGGATAGAATGTCAGCTAATTCTAAAGATAAAGGTAAAAAAGTATAAAGTACTATATGGCTTGCTAGTTTTAAGGGATACTGTTATCTAATAACAGACAGACTGATATATGATGCTCATTAATGCTATTTCCTGAGCTTTGGGTTGAACCTAATAGATGCTAATAAACTCTTATTTGATGTCCCATTAAAAAGCTCAATCTGTTTTCTGCATTAATGCCCAGTGTTGTTTATCACATCTTTGATGACTAAAATCCAAATTCCAATCTGTTCCATAACCAAGCTCTTTCTAAGCAACTTTATACCTATTTTTGCTTTTATATATGTGAAACTTATACAACCAAACCAGAGAATTAACAAAATACATGAATTTACAGCCATGATATACAGTGTGTAAGTTACTTGTGAAGTTCATAATTCAGGAATTTTTATATAATGTCTAGACTAGCTCCCATTCTAATCAATGTTTAGGATGGCTTGCAATTGAATGTCATTTCAAACATAAGGATAATTTAGCATTCCATACTTAAAATTTTAACAGATTATTGAATTAAACATTATAAAAGCAGTTTCCTAAATAAAGTTAAAAGGACGCAACTATTTTCCAGTGATGTGATACTAGAGATTATCCATGGAGTGTTATTAGCCATCTTCAGGATCTACCCAGCCCAGTTCCTTGCCCTTGTTTATGGATGATGTTGAACTCATCAAGTCTGAGTTTTGCCAGTTTGTCACAATTTATAATAAAAGTCCTTATGCATTGAGTTTCAAATGTATTCCTGACTTCTGAGAGTGCTCACTAGAAATGGAAAAAATATGAACCAGACAGACAGACGGTGAATATTTAACCATGAAGGAGAAACCAGCAATTTATGAGTAGTGATGTTGTTCTGTCCTCAAGAATGGCTACTGTGAATTATGAAGTGTGTCTTTTGTGAAGTCAAAATCATATATATGCCTTTCAACAATTTTTTATATTGTATCTAAAAGTTTTAAATTTAAAACTACCTGAACTCTTGAAGTACATTCAGAGTAACAAATGACAGATTCTCTCTCTCTCTCTCTCTCTTTTTCTCGTTCTCTCCCTCACTCTCTCTCTGTGATGTTATTATCTTTTTCTCTCTTTTTTTTTTAAACTGATGTGAATGGAAAAGGAAGGAAGAAATTCACACATTCTAAGTCACAATCTCTATGAAGCAAAGATGTATCCCTACAGGGATATACTCAACTCCCTACCCAGGAGATTGTGGCTTGAGACATCACCCCATGCCAGCAGAGAGTAACTCATCTCCCCATGCCAGTAGGAAGTAGCTCTAGAAGACAGATCATCATCCCTCCACCCCTCCTGGACTTTTGGGGCCAATGTAATCCCATAAAACATTAGCTTTATTAAAAACAAAAAGGGGAGTGTTAAAAATAAATTAATTAAAAATTATAAAACGTTTTTTTAAAAAATCCCTTTTTTTTAATAACCTTGCTCTAAAGTGAGGTGAGGTTAGATGTTGAATTGGGTGAATACATTTTCCCTTTCATATTTTCCATATTGAATCTAGTTTCAATAGTTAATATAAGACAATAAGTATATGATTTCAAAATAACTGAGGCTGCATTCCTTAGGAGGAGAATCTTGATGTCCTATTCTCCTAAGTCTGGTTGGTGTAGCAGATGGCCACTTCTTCAATGACCACATAAACATTTGCCCAGGGTGCAGCCTTAGAATAGGAAAATGCTCAGACTTATCAGTACCATTTTAGAACACAAATTGGTCTCTTGTAAGCTTTTAGCTGGTTAAACATAACCCTGGTTAAACATAAAGTCGTTTTTCTACAAAAGAAAACCCTAGTGGTGCAGGTATTGTGGCAAAGTGGATGAAGCCTCTCTCTACCTGCTATGCTGGTATCTCATATGGGAGCCTGTTCATGTGGCTCCACTTCAGATCCAGCTCCCTGCTAATGTACTTGGGAAAACAACAGGAGATGGCCCAAGTGCTTGGGCCCCTGCACCCACACGGGAGACCTGGAAGAAGCTCCTGGATTCTGGCTTCTGCCTGGCCATTGCAATCCTCTGGAAAGTGAACCAGTGAATGGAAGATCTCTGTCTCACTCTCTGTATCTCCCTCTCTCTCCCTCTTTCTCTAACTCTGCCTAAGAAAGAAAGAAAGAAAGAAAGAAAGAAAGAAAGAGGAAGAAGAAAGGGAGGGAGGGAGGGAGGGAGGGAGGGAGGGAGGGAGGGAGGGAGGGAGAACCCTGGTATCCCGATCTACCTTAGCTTGACAACTCTAGATGATCCTCTCTCACCCTACAGAGGATCCATTCAGAACTTCCTTAAACAGATGCTTCATTCCTTGAAGTCAGCAAAAGGCAGAAAAGCATCTTTTTGGTTACAGGTATAAGAACAGGCAGGTACTCTCCCACCTCCTGTCTTGTTCAGAACCAACCACCTGACCACCTTTCAAACAGCAGCAGTAAGAACTCCATGGTAAACCTGAATATTCCTTCACCTCTAAGATGCCTTACAAACCAAACCTGTTGGCACTCAGTTGAGAAACCAGAAGGAAATGGCTGGTTTCCCAACTGTTTCTCTTCCTGCTCATTGTAAATGGATATCCATCCATTTAAGGGGGAGGCACAGAGCAAGTCCAAGGACAGGAAAGAGTAAATGAGTCTCACTCTGAAAAGAAGTTTCTGCTGCGGGGGAAGGAAGGGAGGTACAGACTGGACAAGGTTATCCTCAAGTAGCTCACAGAGCTTTTGCTCAACTTGGCCCCGCAGAGGAAAGTTGCACCCGCAGGTACTTGGGGTTCTTCACAATGTGGAGACTTGACATGGACGCTGCAGCTGCAGCTGCACCACTGCTTCTGCTGGGAAGTGGCTGTATTTGCACCATCCCTTGACATCTGCCTCATTTCAATAATTTCCAGCCACTGAGCCTCTGTCTGAATAAGCATCAGGAAACAGAGGCATGTTTGGTTACTAATTTGAGTCTCTCTCTCCCCTCTCTCTCCAGATTGAATTCCATGCTTGTGTAAAGGCTCCGCTGATGATTCTGATGTCTGTGGCTTTCCATCTATGTGACCAAACACATCCCCACCATCTCCATATGTCAAGATGAGAAGGGAATACCCAGCATGTGTGTCAACCTCTTCCTTCCTTAAACTGTCAGCATCAGCTGAGTGATGCAGACAGTTCCTCTATGAAGAACTGCATGAAGACAGACGCTTCATTTCATATGAGGCTATGCAGAGGTTGTCTGTCATCTCTCCCAGATGAGGGAATGCCTTTCAGTTATTACAAACTTGGCTTTGAAACTGTGACCTACTGGTTTGCCTAACGCAAGAAACAAATGCCCTGAAATTGATTTGCCATAAGATATGATGAGATGCTCACCCTTGCCTGGAAGGAGTGGGATATTTCACCTGTGGGTGGTACTCCCTCACTATCTATCAGGTTTGCCACTGCTCTGATGGGAAAATATCCTGGGAGCAGAGCTAGTGGAAGGCAATCATACGTATCTGCCTGCCTAGGATTCTTAGTAGCTGCTCGTTCAGCCTCTTACTCCCACCCACTCTATCCTCTGCCTCACAAGTTGTCTATTGCCAGCCATTGTAGTGGATCCATTCAGAAGAATCTTGAATATTCATAGTAACCCTAATTTACTAATATATATTCACTAATGTCAGCGATCTGTACAAGTGATTCCTGAGCTTATTACAGTAACAAGTTTCTCCAATGCTACTGGGCATATTCTTCATGTCTCTCTTTCCAGACTACTGACTCAATTTAAGATTACATCCTTTGCTCCTTTGCGTTTATTGCACTTGCCCTGTAAAATCTATTCCCTTCACATTGGAGGATGTCTAGAGACACAGGGGGCGATCAACTGGGCACAGGATATATTTGATGCCATTGCTTTAACGTGATTCACTCTTCCTTTGATCTGTGAAACTCCCAAGCATTTCTGTCATGGTTATTGGGGTTTGGGGAGAGGGAGTTGGAGCCTGCTTAAGTATTAATTGTCTGATGTTGGGTGAATTTCCGCTCAGCCACGTCCGGGCTGCCACCTCGGCAGTATGGTGTGCAGTACTTCTAGCCGCATGGCTGAGGAAAGAAATGGTAAGTTAAGTAGGTTTTTAAATTGCCCATTGAACTCACACCATTAAATAATTCCATGAGAAATTCATAAGCGGAGACAAGTAGGAGAATTAAAATGCTATAAATTATACGGGGAGGGGGGAGTGTTATTCACGTATTTTGCCCTTTGTTCTGGTCACAGAACACCCACAGCCAGGGTTGGTTCTGCCCACTGCTTAAGAATCAGTACCTGAATGGAAGCATGACCCCTGAGTGCCCCCAAAAGGGGGATGACTGTAACAGCATTTTCCTCATGTCTAGGACTGGCTAAAAACTACTTTCCATAGTTGAAGATAGAATTGTCCTCAGGGAGGCATTACATTTCATTCTTTCCTTCTTACTTTTTCTTTCCTGGTACTTCCCTCTCCTCATTTCCTTTCCTATCCTACATCAAGGAAGTGCAGAAGGAACTATGTCCTTTTCCCTCTCACCCCCAAATACCAAGAAAGTTCTAGCCATTCTGGTTTTTCAATAATTTACTCTACCATTGTTCTTAGTCATTCCATCTTGTCTCTTTGACAGGTGTTTATTCAAATTATTGTTATTTTCTAACTCATCTGTAAATTTCATAAGAATAAAGACTTCTATTTTCAAACCACTACACAATAGTACATAAACTAGTGCCTGACCCCAAAATAGTATTCAGGTTAGCCAAGGCTGTATAACACAAATGTAGGAGTTTAAAACAACCACTACCATCTTATTATTGTTCACAATTCCTGTGGGTCAGGAATTAGAAAGGGACTCCTTTCTGACTCCTATGCTTAGCAGCTCTGCCTCAGAATCTCTCATGTGGTTACTGAACATGGTACAGATAGGGACTTTCTGAGAATCCTTGTCCCTTGAAGACTCAGGGCCTCTCAAAGTGGTGCTTCTTCTGGCTAGTCGGGCTTCCTCACATCATGGCAGTTGGGGGATAAGAGGACTACTTACCTAATAGCTCAAGACTTTGAGATCAAGTGTCAGAAGCAAGACTGGAACTGCAATGCCTTTTCTGAACTCGTCTTCGGAGTCATGCAATATCACTCCCATTTCATTCTCTCAGTTACAAGTGAGTCACCAGCTTAATCAGATTCAAAGAGAGGGAAATTAAACTCTGCTTTCTGATCTGAGTGTGGCAAGATTCCAAAAGAACAGGGGATACTGGCATTACTGTTATGGACAAGTTTGAAAATACTTTGAGAATGTCTTGTGTTGTTTGTTAGAAGTAAATAAATGCCTCCTGAATGACTTCTCAACTTTCCTAGGAGACATTCATAAGTTTTTATTTTTTTCCAAAGAGCTATATTTTCATTACAAGATTTCACAATGCCTACTGTCCTATTTGTGAATGGTGCTCTGTATTCTACCAGTTCAGCTCCTTTGTAGACTGTCCTCAAGAAATACTGGTTCTGAAATATTGCTTCAGCCCATGTGCTTTCCACTCTCTGCCTTCTCCATATTCTCAACCAAGAAGATTTTGCTGATTTAAACTTTCTGTAGTTTTGTCTAAAGAATGGGTCAGCCTCACTTCAGTAGTCACCTCCAACACCACGCTCGCCCTACTGCATTTCACTTCCTTTTAGATTCTGTAAGTTTCCTTTATATTCATAATGTTCAGACTTCTGTTCTCTTGCCTGACCTATCCCAAGATATCCAAGGGTATGTCTACATATGTCTCCATTAGCTACCTAGACACAATTACTTAATTTAAATTTAGCATGCCTGTGTAAACTATTTTCTACATAAAAGGCCCTTCTTTATTCATTTCTCAAAGAAAACAGCTTTGAATAAGAATTGTTTACTTCCTTATACATTTCTATGAATAACAGTACTAATCACATCTAAATGTTGGAAGCAACATAAGTGTCTATTTACAAATGGGTGGGTAAATAATATATGCTATATCCATATAATGGAGTATTATTCAGCCTCAAAAAAGAAGGAAATTCTGATACATGCTGCAACATGGATAATTTTGATGACATTAAGCTGGTGAGATATACTAGGCACAAAAGAACAAATACTGGGTAAGTCCACTTCCATGAAGTCCTTAGGGTAGTCACATTTACTGTGGAGGCAGAAAGTAGAATGATGATTGTGAGCAGAGGGAAATGGGGATTTAGTGTTTCATGGAGATATTATTTCAGTTTTTTAAGTTGAAAAATTTTTGAAGATGGATGATGACAATAGTAGCACAATGGTATCAATTACTTATTACCACTGAAATGTATATTTTAAACAGATTATTGGTGTTATAGCACAGCAGATTAATCTACTGTTTGCAATGCTGGTATCCCATGTAGGAGCTCTGGTTCAAGTCCAGCTTTCTGCTTCTGAATCAGCTTTCTGCTACAGTACCTGGGAAGGCAATTACAAAATGGCCCAAGTACTTGGATCCCTCCTACTCATGTGGGAGACCGGGATGGAGTTTCTGGTTGTTGGCTTTGGCCTGGCACAGACCCAGTCATTACGTTCATTTGGGGAATGAACCAGCAGATGGAAGATTCTGTATGTGTGTGTGTGTGTGTGTGTGTATGTAACTCTCTTCTCTGTCATTCTCTCTTAAAGTAAATAAATATGAAAGTAATACATTTTTAAATAAAATGATTAAGATTATAAATTTTATTTATTATATATTTTACCCAAATTTTTTAAAAAATGTTTACTTGTTTATTTTCATCTTACTTGAAAAGCTGAAAGAGTGAGAGAGCATGAGAGAGAAATCTTCCATCTGCTGGTTCACTCCCCAGATGCCTACAACAGCAAGGGCTGGACCAGGCCAAAGCTAGGATTCTGAAACTGATCCTGATCTTCCATGTGGGTGGCTGGAATCCAAGCATTTTAGCCATCATCTGCTGTCTCCCAGAATGCATCAGCAGGAAGCTGGATCCAAAGTGCAAATGCAGGGAATCAAACTATCTCTCTAATATAGGATGTGGGCATGCCAAGTGGCTGTTTAACTTACTGTCACAATGCCCACCATTCTATCAAAAATTATTGTATTTTTAAAAAATTATTTTTATTAAATTAAAATTAAAATTAATTGTATTAATTATTATTTCATTTTTTTCATTCAAGATTGGAAAACCGAATTAAGATCTATGAAACCATTCAGCATACTTATAAGAAATTTATTAGTTAATGATTGACATTGCTCAGATTTAAGGTAAAAGACAATGGAAACATCTCAACCTACTTAGAAAAATAACTTCATTAGCTAGCCTAATAAACCTCTATTACATCTTACAGACACACACACACACACACACACACATATTTTATGTAGGGTAACAGATATTTCATTTGAGAGGGTCTCAAATTTGCCAGGACATGATTTTTTTAAAGACTTATTTATTTGTAAGTCAGAGTTATAGAGAGAGAGGGAGAAACAGAGACAGAGAAAGATCTTCTGTCCACTAGCTCACTCCACAGATGGCTGCAATAGCTGGGGTTGGGACTGGTCCAGGAAGAAGCCAGGACTCAGGAGCTTCTTCCATGACTCCCATTTGGTTAGTAGAGTCCCAAGCACTTGGACCATCTTCTGCTGCTTTCCCCAGGCCATTAGCAGGTAGCTGGATTGGAGCAGCCAGGACATGAACTGGTGCCCATATGGAATGCTGGCATTGCCCTGGCCATGACTTTTATTTTATTTATTTATTTTTTTTTGACAGGCAGAGTTAGAAAGTGATAGAGAGAGACCAAGAGGAAGGTCTTCCTTCTGTTGGTTCACCCCCAAATGGCCTCCACACCTGGTGTGCTGCGCTGATCCGAAGCCAGGAGCCAGGTGCTCCCTCCTGGTCTCCCATGCGGGTGCAGGGCCCAAGCACTTGGGTCATTTTCCACTGCCTTCTGGGCCACAGCAGAGAGCTGGACTGGAAGAGGAGCAACTGGGACAGAACCGACGCCCCAACCAGGACTAGAACCCGGGTTGCCGGCGCTGCAGGTGGAGGATTAGCCTAGTGAGCCATGGCTCCAGCCTCCTGGCCATGACTTTTAATAAGTATTTAATATATCTTATGCCATTAAATCCTCACACCAACCTTAGGAGGAAGATGCTACTGTGATCCCATTTTAAATATCAGAAAATGAGGCTCAGAGCAATAAGTCACTTAATACTTAACGGGGAGGATTTGAACCCAGGTATCCAACCCAAGAAGCTCCTTCTAGTCATTCTGCTCAGCTGTTACCTGCTAACTATGAGATGTTCAATGTATAATTATGAAATTTACTCTGAGTTTAGATGCAGTCACCAAGGCCAGTTTGGGTTCTATATTAGATGGTTACATTGCTTTTCAGTGGTCGTTAAATGACCAGCCAAATCTCAGTTTCTCCAGCTATAAAATGAATAAATAAAATCTCTTTACCTATCTTAAAGGCTAGTTTTAAAATCAAAATCAAATTATGCAAATTCAGTATACAAAAGTATTTTTCAAGCTGTGAAATGTATAAATATGAATATACTTCAAAACATCCATGGAAAAGTAGGATTCAAAGATTAATTTGTTTTGGCACAACACATATCAAAACCCATGCATAGTTTTTTCATAATATGCATTTTCTACGAAATTTTTATAGTATCTCATATTATCATGACTAGGTACAGAACAGGTGATAAACATGAAAGAGCTCTAACTCAAAGAGAATAAAATGACAGGAAATATCCTAGAAGCAGGAGCTGAGGAAGAGGTTCTGTTGCTATTGATGGCCTGCTTAGCGAAAGCTGTAGGATTGGATGCGTGCACATAAGTCTAATTCTCCAGGGCAATGCCTTTCAGAGAAATCCCCCCTAAGCTTTCACTTCACATATTTTGAAGCAAAGAATG